CATTTGATTTCCCTAGATGATACTGGATGGAGAAGTGATTGTCTTTCAAAAATTCCAGCCATCTGCACAGTCTTACATTCAACTTCCTCTGTGTGAACAAATACTATAGACACTTGTGATCACTGAATAATCTAAAAGTTTCCCTCAAAAGATAATGCCTCCAAATACATAAGGCAAAGACCATTAATGCTAACTCCAAACCATGAGTCGGATAATTAATCTCGTGAGGCTTAAGCTTACGAGACCCATATGAAACTGGTCTCTCCTCCTACGTGTGGCATGATTTTGGTAACACACTGGAAGAGGTTTTGTGTAAAAAATCTGCTAAAGCAGTTGCTTGCTTTTCCTCTTGATTGCGACTCTTTTGAGCTTCATTTTGAGAGAATTGTTGTGAGTTTTTGAGGTTGACATTAACATGAAAAATGTTTCTGGGTTTATAAGCTTTCATTTGATATCAAGCTTGTAACCATTTCCTAACTACTGGATTTCAAAAGCTGCCTTGAAAGAAAATGTGTTTGGGTATATTTCAAAGAAGTGTTCATCTTTTTGGTGGTAATTGGTCGACTTTCATCTATTTGAGGTAGGGTTGTTTAAATTTCATAGTCTTTACCTTTGGTGAATTAATCCTTATTGGTTTTATGCTGAAACTTATATTCAAAACTAAGTTGTGGTTTCTTTATATGATGAGGTGTACACTTGAATACTGGAATTATGGTTAAGCTCTTTTGTTGTTGTTCTATTAAAATTGTAGAAAAGAAGCATGATTAAAGTGTTTAAGTTTAATGTAATGCAAACAAAAACTTAATGTAATGATGTTAAGTTGATTTTGCTAATGAGCATAATATGATCTATAGAAAACTGATTTGATAATGTTAATTGTGCATGGGGGCAGAAGTTGAAGGTTGTTATTGAAATGTTGTTATATCATATCATTGAAATTTTACATTTATCTCGTATGATTTGGGAATGAATTTAAGGTGAAATAAGAAGTTTGGAAAGGTTGTTAAATGGCTTTTGAGAAAGCTATTTAGAAAAGAGAATGTTAAGAATCAGATGACGGGGATTACCTCGTGTCCATGTCATTAATGGATCTAGAGAAGACGTGGGGACATACTCTACGTATAGTTGAGTCACTAGGCCCCAAATGACGCTAGAGATTATTCTTGGTCAGGGATAAATGAACAGTCTTCTTCTCATAGTGCCAGAGATTACTTCGGGCCAGGTACATTAACGGTTGAGAGGAGTTGTTGGTTGGCATTTCAAGAAAAAAGGAAGTGGCATTAACATTGGCATTAGCATTGCATTGCACTTTATTTTATTATATCATATGATATTGTCTTTCCCAGGCATGTATGATCTCTTTATCTTATATCTGTTCTATGTTTAGATTCACAGGGGTATTAAGGAGTGTGCTTTAAGCAACTCCTATTAAGCTATTGTGTTTATTCCTATTTTATACACATCTTTTCAAGTCATGGCAAGGAGGTCGCAGAGGACGTTCTCCCCAGCTTTAGACAGATTTGGGATAGGTGGTTGTAGTGTTTTCTCTTATGCAACGGATGTTGTATATTGACGGGATAATGTTGTATAATGATGGTCCAGTTACATCCCTGTTATGTAATAAATGTTATTACAAAATTTGAGATTTTAAAGTTGTAATATATGTATTCTAACTGTTTATCTTTATGTACGGATATAGAGATGGGAATAAATGGGTGGATGTGTATGGTGAGACAGGTTACAGGGATATTAGTCTCTATGAGACCTTAATTATTTGTGTGGCATGTTCACAATCCGGACTCCAGTCTGGGGGCGTGACACCTGTAGTAGTAATTTTTCAATCCTAGGAAACTATGAATATCTGAAGGTGAGGTAGGTTATCCCTACTTTAAAACCGCTGAAACCTTGGCTGGGTCCACTGCTATACCTTTCTCTAACACCACATGGCCCAAAATTTTCACCACCCTCTGCCAGAATTCACACGTCCCAAATTGTGCATACAATTGATGCTCTCAAAGTGTCTGCAACACAGTATGAAGATGTATGGCATGCTCCTTCTCTAACTTAGAATAAACCAGAATATAATCAATGAAGACAATGATAAACTAATCTAAGTAAGTAATGAATACCCAATTTATCAAATCCATAAAGACAGTTGGGGCATTTGTTAACCCAAAAGGCATGACATGGAACTCATAAAACCCATATCTAGTGAGAAACGCTGTCTTTGGCACATCCTGCTCTTTAACCTGAAGTTGGTGATACCCAGATTTAAGTCTATCTTAGAAAAGTAAGTGGCTTCCATCAATTGATTAAATAGGTCATCAATCTTTGGCAATGGATATTTGTTGCATATTGTAACCTTATTCAGTTCCCTGTAGTGAATACAAAAGTGAAAAAAACCCATCCTTCTTCTTCACAAATAATACCGGTGCTCCCCACGGCGAAATATTCATATGAATAAACCGCTGACTGAGAAGCTACAGAATCTACTCTTTCCCCTGAAAGTATTGCGTTACTATCTAGACATACAACAGTCCCCTCTGTGAACTCTTTATCTATATAGAACAAATGTGTGTTAGATCCTCCATGGGGTCGTGGCATGGCGGTAAAATACATCTCTTGCCCTGGTATGTCAAATACAATAGATTTGTTATGGAAATTGACATGAGTATGGTACTAAGATAACCAGTCCATTCCAAGTATCAAATCATAAGAATGCATGTCCAAACCAATAGATTGACTAGAAATCTAAGTCTGCCAATATCTTTTGGTAACATGCCCACAACTCTCACGTAAGAGCATGTTAACTCCCAGTGGTGTAGCTATGCTAAGTGGTTAGTCACATGGCTGAGTTATCATCCCAGATAAAGCAACAAAAGATCTAGACATAAAAGAATGTGATGCACCGGTATCAAATATAACACGACCAAGTCTACTATATATAGAAAACATACCATCAATGGCCTGAGGAGCCTGCACATCGTAAGGCATGACATTGTACACCCTACTATAATACAACTGTTGTAAGGGTTGCCCCGGAGGTGGTGGTAGTGCTGGTAAAGCCAAAAAGTTCTAAGCATGACCCCGTGGAATCTATGGAGCAAGTAATGGCAATGGTTGTCTCTATCCCTAACCATAGTGACCTTGATTGGCTTTGGGACACCTCTTAGCTGGGTGCCCAAGCTTTCTACACTCAAAACACCATCCCCTAAAGGGACCTGATTATCTCCTCTGGTGATTTCCTTCTGGCTGACCCTGTCTAGTTTGAGGTGCTCCATTTTGCTGCCTGTGAGTAAGAACTCCCTCTTTTTGAACATCTATGTTTCCCCTGTGCTTCTTCCAAGGCTAGTGTCCTTGAAATCTGCCCCTGTTATTGTGTCTGCCACTATTTGCATTTTTCTTTTCAACTGTCTAATTGGCGGAGTCCTTATTACCCCGCTTCTCACCCTTGGATTTCTTGTAGTCCCTCTTGATCTGACAATGCTATAAAGCGCATCCACCACCTCAAAGTAAATGGTATAGGCTGAGCTGCCCACTAGCACCTGCTTAATGGGACAAGTTAACCCATTAACAAAACAAGTCTTCTTCTTTTCCTTTGTATCAACTTCCTTATGTGCAAATTAACAAGGACAAACTAGTGGACTCCTACTTATACTCTATAACTGTCCTATCTCCTTATTGTAGGTCTACAAATTCTCTTTTTTTAGCTGCCCTCACTGCGAAGGGAAGTACTTGTATTCAAAGCAGGCCTGAAACTAAGCATAAGTCAAAGTAGTCCTCTCCTCGATAGTGGTAATAGACTCCCACCACACCAATACATCTCTTACTAGCTTGAAAGTAGTAAGCATCTGTTTCTGAACCTCGGTACACTTTACTATACAGAGATGACGTTCAATATCATTTTTCCACTAATAAGCTATTTTCACATCTGTGGACTCTGAAAATTCTATTGGGTTCCTTTTCGTGAAGGAATTCTTGGCTTTCTCCGAGGAATTGGGGTGCCCACTGGTATAGGATCGATGCCTACTGGAACCAACAATAAAGAGGATGGTATTCGTATTTGTAAGTTTGTGTTGCATACGCACGAGATAGAATAATTCGACCACTAAGGAATCATTCTTCCCCCAAAAAATCATTCGATATATGAGAAATGATCGCAAAGAAATAAATCGAAATAATTTCTTTTCTTAAAAAATGACTTCAGAATTTCGCTTTTAATAAAACAATAGTACTCTTGCTATTAATTACCCCTTTCTATTGTGATTGTGAAAATTAACATGAAAAAAAAATGAAAAAAATGAGACAATTGGCTACTAAAGAATCATTCTTCCAAAAAATTCATTGATATTTGAGAAATGATCTCAAAGAAATAAATCGAAATAATTTTTTTTTATTAAATAACGACTTCATAATTCTGCTTTTAATACAACAATAGTAATCTTGCTATTCCCTCTATAAATGTGAAAATTAACAGAAAAAGAAAAAAGGAAAAAGAAGAAGAAGAAGGAAATTATACAAGCAAGAACACACCACTTTAGGCAGGGTTACATAATAAGTGTGAGAATACCAAAATATCCTCCAAAAATTGGAGTATGATGTAGCTCCACACTTGTTAAGGAATCATTCTTTCCAAAAAATCATTCTGATCGCAAAGAAATAAATCGAAATAATTTCTTTTGTAAAATAATGACTTTAGAATTTCGCTTTTAATAAAACAATAGTACTCTTGCTATTAATTACCCCTTTCTATTGTGATTGTGAAAATTAACTGAAAAAAAAAAAGAAAAAATGAGACAATTGGACTACTAAGGAATCATTCTTCCAAAAAATTCATTGATATTTGAGAACTGATCTCAAAGAAATAAATCAAAATAATTTTTTTATTAAATAACGACTTCAGAATTTTATTTTTAATACAACAATATTAATCTTGCTATTCCCTCTATCTATTGTCAAAAAAAATAATAAAAAGTAATAAATGAAGAAAAAAAAAGGAAATGATACAAGCAAGAACACACCACTTTACGCATGGTTACATAGCAAGTGTGAGAATACCAAAATATCCTTCAGAAATTGAAGTATGATGTAGCTCCACACTTGTTTTCACCACCTCCCTGAACTATTTTGTTTTTTCTTTCTTTTGTCCCCCACCCCCTCTATTTCTTTCTCTATTTGTTATTCTTTAATCTCAAAATAGAAACGAAGATAAACTCAGACACCAATAAATACCATTAAACCCTACCCTATTTTCCTCTTCTCTGTCTCCCTCATTGCTCTTCAAACTCTAGCAACCCTAGCTCTTTGACCCAGATCACACATCTGTTTCACAAGTAACCCTAGCTAGATTCGCTAATAGGTCTCCATCATCAGATCACTAGCACAACAAAAAGTAGAAGAACCCTTCCATGACCCATTGCTTCAAAATCAATCATCCAAGTTATAATTAACCACCTAAAAAAAAGCTGGATCGAAGGCATGGAAAGCGCCCACTTCCTTCAGAAACACAAGAGGATCAAAAGGAGGAAGAGCATGCCTTCTTTCCTGCTTATGGATCAGTTGTTGCTGACAAGGATACATCCACCATGGTTTCCGGTCTCACCCGTATCATGGGTACCGGTCCATCTCCGGTTACGTCGAGGCCGGCACCGGCTGTCTCAGAGTCTGCCATGAACCATGAGCCTGAACAACCATCACAAATGATGCCAGATCAAGGTACCAAACATATACAAGCACTCAACTCATGTCGAACTATATATATCACATATGTTAATTTTATAGCATCTCTTCACACAGATATTAATATTTTTAATTGCGTTCATTAATTAACTAAAAATTGAATATGGGTTCAAAGCATGAGCTATGAAGGATGTTGTTAATTTGTACAAGCCCATGTATTCTCATATCTCACCATGCATAAACTCAAATACAAGCTAGCTAGCTTCAAGCTTTTGCACCCCCAATTTTGTTTATTTATTTATTTATTGTGTTAGAACTAATCCCTATACCGATGAGACTGCTTTCTTCACTTGCTTTTGTTGATCTCATTCAAATCCTTTTCTTTGATGAGAAGAGATAAGCATGCATTTTTTATTTTCCTTAGTTTTGTCTAATATATATTTAGAAGAAAAAAGATGGTTAGATGCTGATATTTTTACCAAAAAGATCTGACATCTTTGTTTGATTTCACGCTTTAGCCAAGTTCAATGTATGCTACTTTCCGTAAAGGACAATAACTCTCTCTCTCTCACTCTCTCTCACACACACAAACACACACATGTTACTTGTTTTAATTCACAATTTCAAATAAGAAACATATGTATCTGTCTAATAAATTAGGCCAGTTCCGTTGAATGTCAATCTTCTTACCTACCAAATTGAGAATCAATCTCTATAATCAACACTTTTCTTTTGTTTTTCTAACATGGATAGTTCTCGTTTTGCAAGTCATTATCACACCATTTTGTTCCTATCACCTCAATTTGTTCTTTCTTTGTCCACCGTCCTAACTTTTTTTTTTTACTTTCTTATATAATATTTATTGTTTAATTTACTTTTTTCTTTTTATGTTTGGTTCATATTTATCTGATTTAAACTAAGGGTAAATTTAATTTACCCTTCAAACAAAACAAAAAAGATAGGGTTACAAATAAAATGAGCTGCTTGCGCAATAAGTATTGAATTGTTCAAGTTTGATTTTCAAGTTCAATTTTGGCTCATTATATTATTATTAGAATTATTTATTTTTGTTTTTTTACAACTTCATCTAAATAAATTCCTAATTTTAAAAGTACAAGCTTGGTTCCTATTTGTTATTAAATAATTTATATATATATATTTCGCATTCAATTTTGTATTTGAAATGACTACTCAATCTCACTTAATTTTCTTTCTAAATGTTGTTTATATTATTAGTCAACTATTACCTTTAATTTATTATTTATGCAATTAAGTTTCATAAAGGAATTAACTTATAATTAATATATATATATATATTCTAAACTAATTAATATACCAACCAAAAGAAAAAAAGACAATTATGTTAGCTGTCACAATCCTAACCTGACCAGGCGTACTTTTCTCAAGTTTAGTTCGCTAAGCAATCAAGGTTGAATGAAATATAAGTAAAACTTTATATAGTTCCTTCATTGGTGAATAGAGTTGAATAAATTTCTAAACAAGTTGACATGAGCAATTTTCAAAGACTCGTGTTTTTTTTATATCAGTTCATCACTTAAAATTCTGAAAGAATCAGATAACAGAATTTGAGAATCACCTGAAACAATAAGTCCCACTTAAAGATGGAGTAAAATTTTGAGTTAAGACTCATTTCACTTGTAATTGAACGTTAAATACTTAAAATTTAAATAATATATATATATATATAATAAATGAAAAATTTTTAAAAACTCAATTTTTATTCCCACTTGAAAGTTCAAACCTGCGCACTTAAAAATCTTACTCTCAAGATTTTTAATACTCTACTAAATTTTCAGTTTTATCAAACAATAATTCAGGTTCCTACAGTTTTACCAAACAATAATTCAGGTCATTTGCAACCCTGCATTCGAAACTTCTGCATAGAAGGTCTTTGTAGTTTGTAGTCCTATATTATTGGGATTATTTTGTATACATGAAGTTTTAGACTGTTATTTACTATTTTATGAACTCAAAGCCATGATGTATCGAAAAGATGACCAAAATGCTAAGGTCGATATGACAAAACATTGTTCGATCATTTGCTGAACCTACCAATACTATTTTTAGATACTACTTTTGTACATGTAAGTACTATTTGTGTGCACAAAAGTACCACTCTCGTATATAGAGGTACTATTTTTTGTGCACTCAAATACCTTTTTTTTAATTTTTTTTTGTGCGGACCAATTTAATGACATGATCTGTACAAAAAGAAGTAATTGTACGTACAAAAGTGGTATTACATGCACAAAATTGATACCTGAAAATAGTAAGAGTAGTTTTGACGAATGAACAATATTTTTCATGTCTATTTCAATATTTTTGTCAATTCCATTTTTTTGAAACATCATGACTTTGCCTCCTAAAAATGGTAGAAAAAAGGCTCAAAACTCCATATACACATATACACGTAACAATCCCGCTATTCTTCTCTTCACTCATTATGGAGTGTCCGCACAAAAAATAGTACTCTTTCCTCATTCAATTATACTTGCCAAACCTTACTTCAACATTAACCCTACTTCACAGCTTGGTTCGCTAAGGGCCCGTTTGGTTAATGTTTTTGTTTCGTGTTTTTTGTTTTTGCTAATATATTGTAGCGAAGTAAAAGCATGAAGCATGTTTTGTAATGTTTGATGTCATTTGAATAGTACCGAAGCACTTCCAAATAGAGGCCAAAATCGGAAGTATAAAAATGATGTTTTTGTTTGCTTTTGCACTGTAGTAAAACAATGTTCAAACAAAATAAATAAATAAATAAATCTTTCTAAAATGACATTTTTAATTAGCCATTCAATTTTTTCAAACTTGCAACACTTTTTACTAAACATGTATTTGCTTCAAAAAATCTTGCAGCAAATTTACGTTACCAAATAAGATTCGAAATAGTATTGAATACACTCTAAAACATAAATATTACTTCTGTTTTGGGTCAAAGCAAAAACACGAAGTAAAAGTGGTTGCAAAACAATCCCAAAGCATTGTATGTATGTATAAATGATTAATGTTGCCAATATTCTAAGGTTATGGACAGGGACGGAGCCAGCTTGGCCGAAGGGGCATGCCCCTCGGGCCCATGTAGTATAATACTTGTAAATTATTATTTTGTCTCTCTCTTGAAATTTATTTTTTTTCACAAAAAATCTTTGGGAATGAAATTTTATTACACATATAGGTATACAATTTGTAAAGTATTACTTTGTGTAGCCGTGAACTAGATCCTAAATCAATGGCTACATATCTTTGTGTAGGAAATTTAGGGAAAAGACATTACAGAGGAGTGAGACAAAGGCCATGGGGCAAATGGGCAGCGGAAATCCGTGACCCCAAGAAAGCAGCTCGAGTTTGGCTCGGGACATTCGACACAGCTGAGAATGCAGCCCTTGCATACGATGACGCTGCTCTCAAGTTCAAAGGAACCAAGGCCAAGCTCAATTTCCCTGAAAGAGTTCAAGGGAACACCACATTTGGCTACTTTTCGAGCCCCGTGAATCGTGGAGATTCAACCACCTCTTCTACGCGCCAAATTCCTGCACCAGCTGCTGTTGCTCCTCCTCCAATATTGTCACCAAACGCGTACCCGGACCTTTATCAATATGCACAAATTCTTTCGAGTAATGATGCCAACTTCCATGATATCACTTCTGCTCTCTATAATCAAGAAGTTTTTCGCTCACAATCTTCTTCAGAAGTATTGTCGGACTTGCACCAACAACAGCAGCAGCAGCAACAACAGGAAGAAGATGAGCTTCAGAGTCTCTCATCACAATTTGAAAGCTCGTCTACTTATGATCGTTCGGAGCCTACGAAGAAGTTTGATACGAGAAAACGAGGTAAATAGTATCTTCAACATTTTGTATGGAGAAGAAAGAGATCTATAGAGCATGAAGAGCTTTTAGAATGCCTCTGCATGCAGCACATGCCAGCATGAAGAGCTTCGGAGGTTTTTGGTCACATTGAGTCATTGCGATTGGATCGAGGGTTGGGAAAAATTAATATGCAAGTTAATTAATTAGGTCATTGTAACGTTTTGGTTGGTTATCTTTTTCAAGTATTGATTGGGTAGTGAGTGTTTGGGCTTTCATTTCAATTCCTAAGGCCATGTTTGGACATCCCATGGTAAAATGTACCAGTTCATGTTTTTTACTGAGAATTTTGGTATGAATCCCATGACCTTTTTTATATCTTGTGAAGGAGTTTAATTCCTTGCTTTTCATTATGCTTTTTTTAGGGTAGGCGTGTTGCCAAGATGGGTCCTCTCCAGCCATCTCTCTCCTGAATTCTGCGGTCCTCTTGAGGTTCGAATTTGGCCACACCATCTTCTTGTTGAACTCTATAGAACACTCGCGCACCTACTTGTTCTTACGAAAACTTGAACCCTCAATCTCAAATTCAGCCACATCATCTTCTTTTTAAACTCTATATAACACTCACACATCTGCTCGTAGATGTGAACACTCGAAATTCTACTTTGAAAGATAAGAAGGACACAAGGCTACATCCTCTAGTTTTTACAATTAAATTTGTAAGTGATAAATTTAAATAATATAATAACGTGGTTGAATTTGAATCGCATGATTAAGAATTGCCGGAGAAAATTTTGACATGAAAAATCGACTAAGATGGTAAATTAGTCCCAAGTGAAAAATAAATTAAGTTTAATGATTTCTTTGATGTGAGTTTCATTTAGTGATTTCACCCCAGTATTTGAGGTAAAAGTTGGTAATTTTGTATATATAATTGTTTAGAGAAATTTTTTTTTTCTGATAAGTATAATTGATTAGAGAAATACATAGAAAATTAAGAAAAAGATAATGAATTAAATGTTAAAAAAAATAAATAAAATAAAATAAAATAAAATTAATAGTAAAGCAAACACATTCATTACTCGAACATTTGAAAAGAAAAACTTATTCCGTATAAACTAGGGCGTACTGGTAACTCAAAGTGAGTTTGAATCTTTCTTTGAAGAATTTATTTGAAGTTAATTAGCACATACCTCCAAAGGATGATAAAGGACATCCATCTTGTATCACCCAAAAAAAAAAAAAAATTTAGAAAGGAAGCAAAAATGGAGGTTAAATTACACTCAAGTTCCTTGAGTTTGTCATAACTGTATGGATATACCCTCCTATTTGAGAATTAACACTGCCTCCCTTAATCAGAAATTTTGTCCACCTCTCAAATGAATTGTGTAAAATTATTGTTTTGTCCATAAATATAAATATATATTTGTCTGGAACAGGTAGATTTTTGTGAAAAGTTAAAACATCAAACAAAGTTCACAAAAGAAAATCCATGCGACTTGAGATTTTACAAGACCATATATCAATGACATAAAATTAATCGTCGTTCTGTAATTAATACTTCCTCACTTTCAAAATAGTTATTCTTCTTAGAAACTGAGACAAAGGGGAGCATTCGAAAGATAATTGAAAATAATTTTAAAATTAAATTAACTTTTCTATAATTTCAATTTCAATGCCTGACACCATGTTCTCAAACAAAGTCTTAGCCGCACAAACAAAAGAGAATTTTTTTTTTTTTTTTTTGTCAATTTACTACTTATGGCCCATGGCACAATATGATAGCCATTATTTATCAGGAATGTCATGTCTATATCACAAGATAATATTCTTGTTCGCTACAATTTGAAGCACTTGTGAATGTGTCCTAATTACCCTTTGGAATGGACTGAAAGAAGGAAGGATATTCCCCAACGAGGGAAATTATTCAATAATTTTGAGAGAATTGACATGTAAGTTTCTATGGAGTGACAATAAAATACATATAGGCAACTCAGAGCTTCATCATAGACTTCTTAAAATAAGAGAGTAAAATTTGAATGTACAATCTGAATGTCAGATACACAAGATTATATTTATGTAAGTGAGGAATTAGGTTATTTTATATAATTACGTAAAATAAAATTAATAAAATAAATAAAAAATTCCATGTTTAACTCTTTGACTGTTTATCATTTTATTAAAAATTTAAGATTTTTTTAATCAAATGAAAAAATAATATATATATATAAGGATTAAAAATTAGTATATTGTTAAAGTAAGCAAACAATAAGGAACGTTCCACGTGGGTGTTATCCTAAATTATGCATTGATGCATGGAAGAAGAACAGTGGGCCAGGTTTTAGAGATAAAAACCGCAGAGATTTGGAGTGAAGAAGATAAGAAAAAATAGATTAGATTAGATTAGGTCATCTCAGACTCAGAAACCGACAAAAAACAAAAGAAGCTTCATTCAATTCAGAATCACATCGCTATCTCTCTGGACCGACAACGTAAGCCGCGTGATTGCTGACAATACATCAATCCAATCCCATTAATTAGATTAATCTCTCTGCATGAAACCTCAAGCGTGGCTCAAAATAAGGAGGGACCAACCTTTTTCTTTTCTTTGATAAAAGCAATAATAAAGTGAACGCCCAAATCCTCACATGTTACATCATGCACGGTTGCTAATCTTGCGAGTCGAAGCATAGAGCCCAACCTATGGAGTATAATACTATTAAATTTCGGGTTGGAGTTACGCTCGACCATTTTAACCATACTTTTAAAAGCCTAAGTCTTGCGAAACATAAGTTTGAGTCATTATTATTGTAGTCCATTCATCATTACTTCTTTTACATATATAAATTTATATTAATTTTGGAGAGAAAAGTACACTGACGTCCCTCATATTTAATAAAAATGCAATAACTTTTTCTGTTATACATTTTAGTCTTATGGTATTTACAACTGAAATATCTAAAATTATATACCAATCACTATTAATCAGCATTGGAGGTGAAGCTAAATTGTTATGAGACCTAAATGGCAAAAATATCAACAAATCTCCACCACAATCCATCCCTTCTTCCTCCTCTCCTATGCCTTATCACTTTCATAGACAAGTCCAAACTCTCAGCAGTACAAACATTCCATTCCTCACTCCACTCATAAGCTAAGGCTACCCCATACACCCACTAAACCTCCTCTCTACCCATGCATCTACCAAATCACCACTCAAGACACTTGGTAGAAAGTACCCATGTGATGGCCCAAGTTTTTTTTTAACCCGGTGCGTCAGTGATGACCTGAAAATTGACTCGATAATGGATCCGAAATGTGAAAGTAAAAAATAAAACCATAATCCTTTGAGATAAAAATCATCTCTAAGATACCAATGTGACATTCCACGATGTCACGGAACTTAAGGAGAGCGAAAGAGGAAACTAGAGTTAAAATAGGATAAATCCGTTAATTAAGGGCAAAATAGTTAATTCACAATTAAAATGAGAGAATTGACTCTAAACAAGTCAAACAAGTTGAATACAACCTAATCTAATCATTTCACAATATTTCAAGAGGTTCTAAGAACTTTGGACAAGAATCCCACAAAATTGCCATTTCCTGTTTAAGTGAAAACTGATATTACCTCACTAAAACATTAATAACTCCCACTGTGATTAGAATCTGAAAATGGCATAAGTACCATTGGAAAGCTGACTCAAAATTCTTGAGTTTAGGCTCAAGAATCATCCCATTTGGACTAGGAATGAAGGAGTTATGACCCTTTGAAGTTGGAACTTCAGTACTGAAAGAAATCCTGAAAGGTAGGTGCATGAGGGCTATTTCGGTCGACCGAAACTCACAGAAACTTTGCTGAAATCATGATTTTAAGGTGAGGTTGGTTCGGTAGACCGAATTGGGCCATCGGTCGACCGAAATAGGCCATCAGTCGACCGAAATGGTCTTGAACAGTGAAAAAGCCTACTGGAATTGATGATTTACTATGCATTGAAGCTTCCAAAAGCCATCGGTCGACCGAAATGGAGTTTCGGTCAGCCGAAACACCTCGAAAACCTGCTGTAAGACCTGATATATGCCCAATGTGTTGAGGTTCAACCCATGCTTTGAATCCCCTCATGAATTGGTTCAAAACTGGAAGTTTAAAACTGATTTTCAATGTGGTTTGAGTATGTGAGCATGTCAACAACTTTGAAATGAATGTATTACAACAACTCATGGCCCTATACATGTCCATTACAAGAATTTCATATGTTAAACCCCCAAAGTTGGTTAAAATACATTTTGTAGCAAAAGTTGGTACCAAATGAACACAAGTACTAAAATAAACATGCTTGGCCCTTAGCCTCATTGCTTACGTGCTTTTATTGTCAAAAGTAAATACTTAAGTATCATTACATATCAAGGTAGCTACATTAGCTTCTAAAATATCATACATCCATGGTATACAAAATATGTTATCCAAAAGTAAAGCATGCTAAATAAGTGCATGTCCATATACAAAAATGCTTCAAATGGCTCTTGAGCCTCTAAGGATGATGAGCATCCAAAAACATTGTCTCCTTACCTATAAAACAACCCAAACCACTGGGGTGAGTAATCAAGTTACTCGTAGGGAGAAGTATATGCGTATACTCTAAAGTTTCAATATCATTGCAAGATCAATATAGACGAATATAAGGGAGCATTCCACTTAACGTCTATGTTCAAGGTGCTCTAAGGGATCATCTTAAGCTAACTTAAATATTTCTTAGCAACACAATATCAATATGGATGTACTTAATAACATCAAATCGCATGAAACAAAAATTACAAGTTACAATTTAAACATTGATTGTCAACTTGGAATTGAATGCGAAATCAAAAAGTGGAATCCGACATCTAAGCTCGGAATTCTGCCGAGATCTCAATGGTTATTCCGGGCATTAACCCGTTGGGAAGACTACCCTAGTGCGCACTATCTCAACTGGGGAGAACTCATACCTCCCGCACTGGAGCCAAACTCTAACCATGTCGTTTGTAACTATGTCCCAAGAGAATCTAAAGTATATCAAGTTCAATACTTATACACAATATTAAGGCATATATACCACCTTCCATGCACAAGTATTTTGAAACCACACAAACCATATCTTAGGGTTCCAAGTCTAGAATAGCATAATAAATGACAAGTTCTTAACATAATATAATTTGCAATATAATACCACTAACTTATCAATTTAAATCATGCCTCAACAATAAGCTTCATATACTAGATTACAACATTATAGTATTAAGCTTCTAAAATAATTACAATTACCAATAGTAATCAACTAGAATGTAGAATTATCATCAAAATAGTATAGTAATTCAAATCAACATAAGTTCTATACAACATT